GGGGCGCTATTTCTGACATTGCCTTATGCCGTGCGAAAATAAAATGCTCGCTGCTGAGAGTGTTGGCAGTGTGAGGGCTCGCGCACTCTAGAAGTGGAAAGTTTCCCAGTAGCAAGCAGCTGATCGAAGAAGCCGCAAGCCGCATATGGATATCCCTTTTTCTTAAAATAAAAAATTCAACGTTGCTGCTACGGACGGACTGCGCAGAATATATAACACAGCAGCCGCCGCTAATCGTTGTGCGCTCTCCCGCCGCGCACCCCAGAGTCTTTACACGCCCACCAGCTGCATTCAGGCCGTTCATTAGCCCGTGGCGCTCGCGCGCTGCTCCGCCAGCGCCCCGCCCGGCATTTAGCGAGGCCGCTGGCAAATCGATGATATGCCAAAACGGTTTCGCCGCGCGCTCGCTCTACGCCCCTTCTCTTCGGCCCGGCGGCGGTGGCGGAAGTTCGTGACGTTGTTGGCAGAGATGAATGAGGGATGATCCTCCGAAAAACCTTTTAGGAGGTCGATTCGTCACTCGTTTGGATTGCGCGCGATACCCATACCACCACCGCCGTGTAATGAAAACGGTCGGTGAAGACAAAACCGTCCTGTTGTATCCCTCGCTCTCTGGGGCCGCACACCACGGCGCCGTCTCTGCCGCTGTTACTTACCATGCTGGCCGAGTCCACCTGCGCCCCGTTGTCCAGCAGCGTCTGCGCAATGTCCACGAAGCCGCCCTGCGCGGCGAAGAACAGCGCCGTCGTGCCCGTCTGTGAAAGGAAGAAGAGGACCACCGATCAGCTCCATCCTGCCGCCCGCGTCCGCACGGCCCCGCGGCACACGCGAGTCGGTTGGGTGGCCTGCCCCCCGGGCGCTGGCCCCTCCGGCGGAGGCCTCTGTGCCCTTTTTAAGGACCGCCATGTGGTTTTGGGGTTTTTGTAGTTAATAAAGATAGAAAAATGATGGTTTGTAAAGCCATTCCACATACCGCACATACTTTCCCGCCCGAAAAAACAACAACAAAAAACAACCCGAAAGCTTCCTTAGGTGTGCTTTGGATTCTTTCAGCGGACTCACCGTTCTCCTGGCGCGGGGGTCGGCCCCTTGCTCGAGCAGCTCATCCACGCAGTCCAGGTGGCCGTTAGCCGCCGCCAGGATCAGGGGGGTGGTGCCGTCCTGGAACGGAGCGGGACGCACGAGAACCAGTTACGCGAGCCCGTCTCGAGTGCAAAAGCGCCGGCCAGTCAAGGGGATATAATCATACCATCCTCACGAACCATTACCCTGTCCTTGCAATCCACGTGCACCCTGCCGCTGTCCAGGACCCGGCGCAGCGTGTCCACGTCGCCCTGCAGCGCGGCGATGTGCAGGTGCGCGTCCAGGGGGGACTCCTTCTGCAAAATAAAAACAGACGGGGCACGTCAGGTACAGGAATAACTAAACGGCAGCAATAGTGGCGTGTAGCGTAGCGGTAGATCAGCCGCAGCGCAGTACAGCTGGCACTGGCACTGCCTGCCTCTTCGTGTTCTTCCCCCACGAACAACCTGTCCGTATGACGACGATGACGTCGTGCAAAGCTCACACGATGGCCGCGGCAATGCCGGCCGCGGCGAGGCCGCGGGGAGGCCGCTGACGACGCGGCGCGACGCTCCTGGAAATGGATAAGACGCGCGGGGTTTGCTCCGCGCGACTTGCAGGTGGCTTTGCAGGAGGAGGCCCGCGGCGAGGTAATCACACTCGAACCCACTCACTACTGCAGCCTGCTGGGTGAGAGGGAAGGTGAAGGGGAGGAGGAGGAGAGGGGGGAGCAGAGTAATGGAGGCAGCAGGCAGCAGCGGCCCCGCGGCAGCAGCCGTGTCCTGTCCTGTCCCATCACTTTGAAGGGCTCCCGCTGCCGCTGCCGTTAGGCCCTGCAGGGGCGGGGACCGGCGGGGAGGTGAAGGGACGGGGATCGAGTGGTGCCGCGGCCGCGTAGAGCCGCGCTGCGCTACGGCTCCGCCTGCTGCCGATCGGATGGCGAGACCGTTGGAGCGCGACGGTATGTAATGCAGCGGGACCGACCCGCGGGATCTACTACGGGCCCCGTCCGGGTGTTCCCTATGCCGAACTTGCTCTGGCTGGTGTTCCCCATATCGATCATGTCCCCTACTTGGCGTTGCCCTGTACCTATGGACGGGCGTTCCTTCCCTATGCCGAACTTGCTCTGGCTGATGTTCCCTATCGAGCACGCCCTTAACTGGCCCTGACTGGGCAGGTCTTGCCTTCCATTGGGTGTTCCCTTGCCCAGCTTGCCCTGTCCGGGAGTCCGGGTGTTCCCAATACCGATCATGTTGTCCCGGCTGGCGCTCCATGCCCGAGGATGTCGGATGTTCCTCGACCCGGTCGGTGCGCGCGCGTTCCCTCGTGCTGAACTTGCCCTGGTTGGCGTTCGCCCTGGCAGCCAGCCCCACATTGGCTCGCCTGCCCGCACGGCGCAACCGGCTGCTGCTGGCTGACGCTCGGCTCCGCTGCAAGCCCTGCCTAGTCCGACCAGTCCTGCCCCGCCCCGCCCCGCCCCGC